GAGGAGGGACTGTGTCAAAACCCAGTTGCTGAGGCGCGATGCTATGCATGCTTAGATGGGAAAGCATCCCATGAAGGTTGGAACATGCCGGGAAGTACCGGACTTTTCTCTGAGCATGCGCAGAGAGGCTCAAATTCTGATTTCCACTTCCTCTTTGGCATCTTTTTAAAGTGGGATGCGGCTACAGAGTGATTTGCACGTCAGTCCGTTTTGGCTACAGGTTCACAGCAACAGCACTTCATCGTTATTATAACAGTAGTAACATGATCAACTATTTTCCGCTACAAGAGACCCCCCCCAACCCCCGTGATCCTCCTATGGCTATTAACATTCTTCGCTTGTTAAAAGAAATACAAAATCCAGTGTGGAGGAATTCACCCATGCCCCCTCCCCCTGCAAACAGGGAATCCAGCTGCCCCCTCCCGGTCCAGAGGGCCCAGCCTTGCAGTAGGGTTTTCGGTGGTCAGGTTGCAAAGGGCGCTTCCCTTGCCTTATCCTCCACTCTTCCTGTGGTTTCCATCAGGATACACCAAGCGTGGCTTTTCCTTCAAGATACACCAAGCGGGGCTTTTCCTTCAAGATGCACCAAGCGAGGCTTTTCCTTCAAGATGCACCAAGCATGGCTTTTCCTTCAAGATACACCAAGCGTGGCTTTTCCTTCAAGATGCACCAAGCGAGGCTTTTCCTTCAAGGTGCACCAAGCATGGCTTTTCCTTCAAGTCGCACCAAGCGTGGCTTTCCCAGGATCAACACACGTCCAAAGAACTGAGATTTTCCTGATAGGTGTGATATTTATTCCCCCAGCCATAATTTCTGTTTAGAATAGTGGGCAGTTTTCACCTTTGTGGAGGAGGAAGAGGAGGAGGTGCGGCCAGGGCAAAGAGCCCTCTGGGTATTTCCAGGGTAGAAGCAAACAATGCCATGAGATGGTGATTTCTTGGCCCTGGGGTTTCTTGATCATGGCTGACGGAGGGAGCAGTTGCTGCCAAGGCCTCCCGAGAGCAGAAGTCACAGAAAGTGGATTCTGAGCGCAATCAGGAAGCCGCCTGGGCCACGGCCGGCCGTGCACACTGGCACGTCACGCTGAGAAAAGGGCCCCAGGCGCCACGTCTGAAGGAATTCCAACCCACAGCAACTTCAGGGTTGCTTCCACGGTTCAGCCAAATCCGCTGCAGCAAGGGAGGAAGGTCCTGCTCTTTGTACTGTGTCTCTCGCGCTCTTTGGCAGGTCAGGTGCGGGTCAGATGCTCCCATCCATTTGCTCCACCAGAAACAGATGGATGGCCTCAAACGCAGGGCGGTCTTTGATGTCTCGGCTCCAGCAGTTCATCATCAGGGCGAAAACAGGGTTTGGGCACAGGGGTGGCTGAGACAGGTACACCTGCGGGCAGGTAAAGCAAAATGAGATTAGTGAGGCATTTCTGAAGCACTGATGGCTGGAGTCGGCTGGAAGCTGGAGTCGGCTGGAAGTTTTTGTCCATGTTTACACATTCCTTTGCAGCTCAGTCTTTATACTACCACCTTTGATGTCGACTGATTTACGTCATCCAGAAAATATTCCAGATACCACCACCATCGCCTCGTAGGCGGACTAAACCTTAGCACTGCATTTTTCACTGAGAGAGCAACACTTGAAAAAAGACCCTGCCTGGAGGGCTTTGCCTATAGGCAGCGCAGAAATAAAATGCATTCATACATTATTGTATCACCACATGGGTATATGTCATGTTCATATGGCTGATATCACTCTTTCAAAATTGCTGAAAGGCAGCATTTAAATCTGGCCCTGGGAAAAACACGGCAATGCATTGGAACGGTCAGAGAATTAGGCTAACTGGCGCATTTAGGAAACGTATAAAGTAATCCAACATATTTTGGAGAGCAAGTTTGCAAGCTTTTGATACAGAATATCCTTTATATATTTTTCTAAGATAGAGAAATACAAAATCAGCAAAAGAACATCCCCTAACAAACAAAAAACATACCATCAAAAACACTGTAGCAATTTTAAAACATCAACCACAAATTAAGATAATGTTTAAAAACCCTGGGCTAGTCGTCTATCAGTCCATGGAAGAAGATGCAAAGAGCCAGGTCCTTGAACCCCACGAGAAAGACGTGTGAGGAGCAGGCAGAATGGATTTCCGCATCGGGGGCTCTGCCGTGGCTGTCTTTTGTTCTGGACAGACCCCCGGGCAAACCTCAGGGGGGAACCTCAGCAGCCAGCCCTGCTGTGTTGCCAGCACAAAATCACTGGCTGCAATGGGAGGGGTTTTTCTGACCAGCAGGACAGAACCGTTCCAAGGAAATAACACAAAATAGTCGGAAGAGCCCAGAGAGGGCCGGCTGAGCCGTGCAGCACTTCTCTGGCGAGGGCCCTGCTCGAAATTGGGGGCAGCGAACAGGCGCGGCACACTGTGCTCAGCACAAGAGGGGCAGACGTGTGCTTCCCGCGTTCCTTGGCAGCTCAGGAGATCCCAGGCTTTGGCGGATCACGGTCCCCGGTTGCAGCCGAGGCCGAGCAAGGGCCTGCGCACAGCGGGCACACGGGGGAAGGGGGACCTGCCTGCCTGTCCCGTCCAGCTGCCCCGGCCCCTCTCACCAAGAGCCATGGCGAAGACGGCCCGCAGGTGCCCGTACCTGCCGGCCCTGGTCCCGGAAGAACTCCCCCGTGTTCTCGATCACTTGCTCGTCGGAAAGCCAGCTGTACGGCTGCTCCTTGCAGAGTGTGAACATCTCCCACAGCGTCACGCCGAAGGCCCACACGTCGCTGGCCGTGGTGAACTTTCCCTGCGGGGAGGGAGAAGCCGGGCACGGGATAGAAGCCGCGCCGAGACTGAAGCCACTGTGGTTCTTTGCGGGGGCTGTCGCCCTCCTGCTAGAGAGCCTCGGGCCCACGCCTGATCCGCTCCTTCTGGGGTGTCCAGGAAGGGTGGCCACGGCCCCTTCTGCTCCTCTTGCCCCCTTTGCCCAGCCACCCGCCCGGGGGGCTCCGGCTTTTGTGCCCCTCAAGGGTTGCAACTGGCAGGACGAGGTGTGAGCTCTAATAACGACACGGATTGCATCAGCAAGCAGCTCCCGGAATCGCCTGCCAGCCACCCACTGACGGGCACTGCTAACGAAGCGTGGGAACGTGGGCGCAGAGTGCCCCAGGACTGGAGGCTGACCGTAGCCCATCAGGCAGGGCTCTGCGCGCCCTGCCTCGCCCAGAGGCACTCCCCCAACCCGCCGCACTCTGCCCAGCCCGCACTGCCCTCTTACCAGGAGGATGCTCTCCCAGGCCATCCAGCGGATCGGCAGCACGGCCCTGCCCTGGATCCGGTAGTAGTCGCCACTGTAAAGGTTCCTGCTCATGCCGAAGTCGGCGATCTTGATGGTGTAATTGTGCCCGACGAGGCAGTTGCGGGTGGCCAGGTCCCGGTGCACGAAGTTCAGCGAGGCCAGGTACTTCATCCCAGAGGCGATCTGGGTGGCCATGAGGAGGAGGTGGAGGCAGCTGAGGAGGCAGAGGCTGCAGGTGAGCAAGCGAGCATCCCGGGACCCAGCCAGGGCCATGCTCGGCTCAGCGGGCAGGTCTGTGCATTTATTTTTAATTATTACATATAGTATGTACACATACACACACACATATATGGCCCAGCCTCCTTTTGTGAGGAACCCAAGGTAGTTTACCTGGCCATCCTCCTCTCCATCTTATCCTCACAACAGTCCTGCAAGGTAGGCTAGGCTGAGCATCAGGGACTGGCCCAAAGCCACCCAGTGGGCTCTCTGGCTTGAGAAGGGATTAGAACTCAGGTCAAGCACTCTCACCACTGTGCCATGCTGCCTCTCAGATCAGCTCATGCTATGCACCCAACCTATTTCCTGGGCAAAGGAAAGGCAGATGCTGCTCCCAGAGCGAGTCACATGGTGCACATGTAAATGACAATGAGCACAGAGGGGGTGGGCTGTGTACGGACGCCGATGCCCCCACAGCCGCGCTCCGGCCCGTGCAAACCCTCCCTGCGTGAGAGTCGAGATGCCCCGACGAAGGGGCTGGCCTGAGTGCCCCAAATCTGCTAACCGAGAAGGTCTCCCGTTTTATCTTGCTTTCAATGCCAAGTCAAGCCTTTTTAATTTAGTACCTGATTTTAGATTGGGTTATTGTTTCGCTGCTGGTTTACTGTTTCGTTGGTTATTGTTATGGATCACATTGCGTTTATTTTCCTCCTGTTTCCTATTTCTACGGTTGTATTTATATTGCATTTTAATTTTACTATGTTTTACAGCTTAGTTTCTTCTTATTTATTTTCATCTGCATTTTAAATATATTTTTATCGCACCGTGAGCTGCCCAGAGAGCCTTCAGCCGTGGAGGGGCATACAGATGTGACCAATGCATACACAAAGAGCGGAGCTGTGTCCCTCGGAGAGGCCACTGAGGGACCCCTCGCTGCGCACGCCTTCCTCGCGAGTGGAGGGCGGCCGCAGTGCGGTCCTGGGGCTGGGGAAGGCCCCCGCGGGCCTCCCCTCGAGCTGGCCGGGTGGCCAGCGCCAGCCCCGCATCCTGCCCCCAGGCGGACAGAGGCGGGTCTGCCGCAGCTCAGGCCCCGGGCCCGGCCCAGCCAGGGCGGGCAGAGAGGCCGCTGCACGGCCGCTCCCCCTTCGCCCCCCCGCCCAGTCACCTGACGCAGGGAATGTGGTTGGCCAGCGTGAGGGTGCTCCGGCTCTGCCGCTGGAGCAGGAACTGGTGCAGGTCCCCGTGCTCCATGTACTCGGTGATCATGCACAGCGGGTCGTCCCGCACGCACACGCCCAGCAGGCGGATGATGTTCGGGTCCTTGAGCCGGGACATGATCTTGATCTCCTTGAGAAAATCGTTCCTTGGGAGGGCAGAGGGACACGGACATAAGTCTTCCGGAGCAGCCTTCCACCTGCCCTGGAGCGACGCGCTCGGGATGCCCTGCGCCCAGTTGTGGCTGCCGCCTTTTGCATTACAGGCCGGCTCCACACGGAGCACACGCAACAGTCTTTTGTCGAGATAAAGCCTGGAGAGGCGGCGACTCGGAGGGGCTCTGTTGGCGACATGCAGGTATGTGAGGGGGCGTCACACACAGGTGGGCAGAGACCTGTTCTCCCCTGCAGAGGAAGGCAGGACGCGCTCCAACAGAGCCAAGCTCAGGGAGCCAAGGTTCCAGTTGGATGCCAGGAAGCACTTCCTGACAGTCAGGACCCTGAGGGTGTGGAATGGGCTTCCACGAGAGGTCGTTGAGGCCCCACCGGTGCGGGTGTTCAAGGATAGGCTGGACGTCCACATGGTGGGCATGTCGTGAGCAGAGCCGGCTGGAGCCGGGGGTCAGACTAGATGGCCCGGGAGGCCCCTTCCAGCTCACTCTGGTTCTCTGTTTCTATAACTGTCCCCGGATAAAAGCGACTCCAGGCCAGTTGCAACTCCTGCACTAAATTTAGCCACGCCGCATCTCAGTGCGAGGAAAGGGCAGCGTTTCCCCCGGGTTCCATGCAGCTTTTGCAAGCCTTGTGCAAAGGTCGGGAGAAGCGCGGCAGTGACCGACCGGCACTCACCTGGCCGTCTTGGTGACGTTGGCCCGCAGCATCTTCACCGCCACGAGCACAGCCCGGCTGGAGGCTTCTGGGGAGACGCGCCCCAGGAACTCGAGGAGCCCGTCAGCTTCGCAGAGGTGCACCTAGCAAGGGAAAAGCCGGCCCACGCAGAGGCCAGTCAGGCAGTTCAGGAGAAGAGGGGCACCCGCGTGGGCAGAGCAGTGGGGCCGGCGTGGAAGCCTTCTGGCAAGGCCCGTCACCCCCAGACGTTCCCCTCCAGGTCTGATCTGGGTGTGGGTGCGGTGGAAGAAAACCCACGCTGTGCAGATACCTCACTGCCTGGTTCTTGCGGTGCTGCCAGAACATTCCCCTCTATCTTAATTCCTGGAGCAAGCCTGCAACTGGCCTTGGCTTTAGGCATTTTAGCTGAAAGAGCAATCCAACAGCCTCTCAACAAAGCTCAGACCCGGGAGAAGGTCGGATTGAAGACCTGCTCCTGGTCCAGGCCACCACGGAAAGCTCCGCCGTGTGCCCTTTCGGTGTGGCAACTCCAGAGGAGGAGGGATGGCAGTGGGGCTGGAAGGAAGATCAGAAACCTCGGTGCTCACCTGGCCCATGGCAAGGCCTGCCACTCTGAAGAGGGAGGGGAGGAGCAGCAGGAAGCCCTGAGGCCTGCGATCCCCTGCCCTGCGCAGGGGAAGCAGCCCGGCAGGCCTCTGGCCCGTCATGTTGCACCCGCAAGATAAACGGGCCTGCCCTGATTCAGCGAGATTCTTGCTTTCAGAGCAAGCCGAGCTGGCGCAACGTCGCAGGAAGGGACCTGCCACCGAGAGACGACGACGATTCTTACAAGACACCAGTTTTTCTGGTAATGCTTTAGCCAAAGGGAGTGTCATCTTTCTGGCATTTGAAATGTGTGAAGGGAAAGGAGAAGACCCCTGAGCTCTGTAACAACATCAGGGTCTTCGGCAGTGTGTCCGGGTCCAGGGGACAGTGTGGTCGGTCCCCTCCCGAGGAGTCTGGACCCAGGGGGGCTCTGGTGGGCCTTCCCTGGAGTTGCTCCCCCTGTGCGTGGCTGGAGTCTGGCTGCATGCCTGCCCCTCCCTCTGACCCAGGGGCGAGGGTCAGGGCCAGGGGGCCCCGCAGCTTCCTGCTCCCAGCCTGGCAAGCAAGCCAAGGGGGAGCCACGCGGGCAGGGAGGCCCTGGAGCAAAAGCAGCCCCGGCAGGTGCCTGAGCGTGCCAAGCCTGGACTCAGTCGGGGGGACCCACTGAGCTGAGGATCAGCCCTAGGCCCTTCTGCACCCAGGCCCTGCTCTGCCCCTCAACCCCGGCTTGAAGCCCATCGGCCTGCCTGGGAATCCTGCCAGCTTCCCTGAGGATCATCGGTGGACCCACCTCCCCAAACTGCCCCTCGCCCAGCTTCTCCTTCAGCCGCAGCTGCCGCCGTGGGAACTCGGCCACTGAGATGTCTTTCTTGGTCAGCGAGTCCACCGTGATGGCCGGGACAGCGTACGTGTTGTTGCCCGTCACGCCCTGCAGGCTGACAATGTCCGTCTCGGCGTAGTGCGGGACGTTGTTCTGGAATCCTTGGTGCGGGGTGCACTTGGTGACATCCGGCTCGGCGTAATCGCCACTGCAGGCTGGAAAGTAGGAAAACAGTGTCAGAAGAAGTGAAAAGCAAAAGGGAAGTTGCTGCGGGCAAATATCCATGCAGCGAGAGTTCTGAAGCAATGTGATAGATTTATAGACTGCTTTTTCAGACAGCTGGAAAAGTGGCATATAAATATATCCGATCACTTCAAGCAGGTTCCAACATATCATAAAACTGACTGCAGAATCAGCAAATCTATGTAACAGCATTTGAGTTGCTCTATAGAGATTGTTCCTCATCTCAACAGTGGATGCAGGCAGCCAGTCAGAGTATTTTGTTTATGCTCATTCGGCCCAAAGGTTGAATTCAGTTTTGGAAATGCTCACGGAGGCTGCATTCTGATGGCTGGAGAGTGAGAAGCAAAAGCTGTGTGGCCCCAAAGGCCAGCCCATTAAAGTTCTCGGGGTGCAATCCTATGGCTTCTCAGGATAGTCTGGGCAGCCACAGAACCACCGCCCGGCGGGGACGGGGGAGGTCGAAGAGAGGGCGTGCAGCCTGCGGGGAGCCTCCCGGGGCCCATATTGCGACCGGTGGTTCAACACCGCCAGTAAACGGTGCAAGGAATCTCAAGGGCTCCTCCCGGAGTGGAAACGTTCGCATCACAAAGAGAGCAAGTGGCTCACACACGCAGTTTATTTTATTATTTATTGGCTATGTTTCTACGCTGCCTTTTTTCCTCTCAAGGAACTCAAAGCGGCTTGCTTCATTCTCCTCCTCTCTGTCTTGTTCCCACAACAACAACCCTGTGAGGTAGGTTGGGGTGAGAGTCTGTGCCTGGCCCAAAGCCACCCAGGGAGCGCCCTGGCTGAGTGGGGACTGGAGCCCGGATCGCCCGAGTCTCTGAGCCACTGCGCTGCACTGGCTCTTGGCGTTGCTGATTAAATAAAGTCAGGTAGCAAGTCCGGGGAAGATCTATGCTTCTCCCTGTCTGCTGGGGAGGGGGGTGTAACCCTACCCATACGCCTCTGAAATGCGCCAGCGTGGATGTTATAGAAACATTGGGAAAAAGCGGGTCAGAAGGGACCTCCTGAGCCATCTAGCCTGACCCCAGCTCCAGCTGGCTCTGCGCACGTAATCCCCAGCAAGCACTCGTCCAGCGCGCGGCTGTGGTCCTACCCGAGTCCTCCGCGCTCTGGGAGAGCTCCGGCAGTTTCTGGAGGAGGGTGACGGGCTGGTGGCATTGCAAGTCCAACGGGAAGACCCTCTCGTAGGTGGGGTTGGTCTGGCGGACCTGCGTGTGGCCACTGACGACCCTGGAGCTGTAGAAGGAGAGCCGCACCGTGGCGTCCTCCTCCAGGATTCGCCGGGGAGCCTTGGGAATGGGAAAGTGCGTGAGTTTCCTGCTAGGAGGACAATGAGGTGCAGCCCCTTCTCCCTCCGAAACATCCAAAGGCCCAGGTCGAGCTTGAAGGATTTCTCGCCACTAATTAAGTCTCGGGGGGACCTTTCCGGCTGCAAGAACTGGGGAGTGGAGAGCAAAACCTGGGAAACTACCGATGAATTTGGGGCATGGGTCACCCCCTGGGATGGCGAGCGCAGGCAGGCTGGAGCTGGCCTGGGCCTCGGGTTGTGGCCCGTGGCCCGGCAGCGCTGCATCAGTGGCGCCGAGGCGAATCCCAGGGCCATCCCGGCAGCAGAGCTGAAAGCGCCCCCCCGTCTCTCCTCCCCATCGCACGTTCATTGCCTGGCGCGTCTGTCTGGACCGCGCGCCTGCGGGCAGAGCGCCTCGTGTTCCTGGCCGGAGGAGGCTGGCCCCCGTTTGCCAGGGGAGTGGGCTAAAACCAGTCGGGCAGGAGAGCGCAGCTGTTTGTGGCTCATCCTGGGCACCGTCCCGGCCCTTGATCCGGGTGGGCAGCCTGCCGATCAGGAATGGATTAGAGGGGTCCCGGGGCTCCCGGCTGCGGCAGGACGCACCATACCGTCTCCAGCCGCTTCTGGGCGTACTGCTTCCCCAGGATGGCGATGATTATCACCAGCAGCAGCAGGATGATGCCCACGAGGGACGCGACCAGGCCAGAGGTGCCGGAGTCTTCTGCCTTGCGCGCGATCCCGGGGCTCGTCGCAGGCACGGTGGGGGTGGTCCCTGCAAGGGGAGCTCGGTCACCACCACAGGGGTCCTGGCAGGTGCCACGGGAGTCCCTGCAAAGCTCGCGAGACGGCCCTCGATCAGTCCACCGATCTGCCACCGCGGCAGCCTCCAATGCACATGGGAAGAGCCGGGGCCAACCTGCTGCCCCCAAGATCCCAACAGCAGAACATGGGGGCAAGAGCACTCTCCCACCCATGTTCCCCAGCAACGGGTGCACACAGGCACACTGAAGCGGGAGGGGCACGTGGCCACCCAGACTCGAAGCGCGGCCTTCGCCTCCTCCAGGAGGCACTCCGACCCCTTTTTCCAGCCATCCAAATGGGTGGCCACCCCAGGCGTTGTGCTTGTGAGCCACACAGCTGAACTCTGCTGACAGGGAGATGCAAGTGATGCATTCCAAGCATGGTGCTGGAGGAGGAGAGCTTGGCGGATGCTGCGGGTTGCTGGAAAGGGGACTGAGCGGGCCCTGGGGACCCAGGCTGCCGTGCTTCGGACACATCTGAGAAGGAAGGACGCCCAGGAGACAACCATCATGCTAAGGAAAGTTGAAGGCCGAAGAAGAGAAGCAAGGCCAAGCAGGAGATGGGGTGGATTAGCCCCTGTCAGGAAGTCACAGCTCGGGTTTCTAAGAACGGAGCAGGGCTGTCAAAGACGGGGCATTTTGGAGAGGATTTGACGGCACATCGAAACAGCAGTTTAAATCCAGCTCAGTTTGGGCCGAATGTACCCAACTGGACGCCAACCCAAGCTCTGCCCGTGACCCAAGTCCACATGTTTCCAAGCCATGCACAGAACCCCAAAAAGCATGTTCAGAAAATGCATGTGTTTGAAAATGTGCATGAAAAGATGCATCTTGAGAAGTAGACGCAGAAACCTGTGCTATCCGAACGTGCACACAATTAATGTGTCTGTTTGAGGAAATGTGCCTAAAAGAATGCACGGATTTTCATTCAGCAGCGCTAACGAGGTAACATGCACAGGAGTCAGAATGAGCGGCGAGGCGGCACGTGGGACCCTCCAAAAGCTCGAGCTGATTCAGGCGTTCGGCCCTTTGGGGTCCTGCATGCCACGTTTGCGAAGATTTTGCCTGGGGGGCACCATTTTCTCCTTACCCCACACCCCATCCGTGGCATTGGCTTCCTCCGACGGGGCTATCGCAGAGGAGGTGGCCGAGGCGAGGGTGATCGCGACAGGGTCGACGGAATCCATGTCTTCTGGAGGAACAAGAAGAACCACGTCAGCCTATCACTCAGCCTGGGGCAGACTTGAAGGAGGGACCGGGAGGCGATGCCCAATCGCAGCTTAGCCACCCCAACCACTGAGCTGGCAAAGGCAAAGGTCTCTGCCACAAGGCGCTCCCAAAAAGGCCATCTGCAGGGATACTTCTTTTTATTTCATTTATAGTTCTTTAACTTTCAGTGCCCAGCTCTTTGACCTGGAAGGCGTCCAGGGAGGTGTACCACCAGCCTTCCACAGGGTCAGAATGGCACTGAGCCACAGGGACACGTCTGCTCAATAAAACGACAACAGCAAATCGAGAGAAAAGCACAGAGGGAAAATGGCGTAGCCAGCAAGAGTCAACAAGCACAAACCCCAAAGGGACTGAACGCAACTTTCAAAAATAAGGGCTTCGCTGCTAGGGTCTTGAAAGAAACCGATCCAAGCACCACTGCTGTGGCGGCTGTCCTTAAAAATGAAGTTTTCCCAGGCTGCTGCGGGCATGACAGAGGAATCCCCCAGGACGTTCACTGCGTTAGGGTAAATTGGACACAGGAAGCTACGTTTCGTCACCATCTCCGCCTGCAGAGTACCGTGAACCAAACCCGAGATGGGGTGGTGAGCCCCCAGCCGGAGAAACTCTGCATCCAGGACCACTGTGGCAGACTGGGCAGAAGAGGGCTGGGCAACGTTCCCTCGTAAGCGCCACTCGGCCACGAGGCCGAGGGACCATCACACAGTCACAGGCAGCCAGCCTTGTCCCTGCACAGGTCGGAAGCGCTCGTGGCCCACAACCCCGAAGGGTTGAGCCATCACTGGCAGCCCTGGGTGCATCGTCCCTGCCCCGTGGGGGCGGAACCGTGGATGCTGGTGTCCCCAGGCAAAGCTCCTGGCGTGGCGCGACCCTAGCGCCCCCAAGGAAGGGACCTGCCCACCCCGTTCCCCTAGAGGGGCAAGCTGCCCCACACCAGCAGGAGAGAGCAGAGCAGACGCACCAGTCTCTCTCGGCCGAAGCTCGCCTCGCCTCAAGTCATGCAGGATGCAAGGTGCTGCCCCCTGTGGCTGAAGATGCTACTGCTGGCTTCAACCACACACCCCGATTAAAATTAATGTATTTCAAAATTTTGAAACCCGAAATAACCCTGCAGGACACGTTCCTGAAGTTCCCGAGCATGCAGACCAAGTGCCAGGTGCGTGCGCTCCGCAGCCTCAACGCGGAAGGGGAGGCGGACAGACACACGCAGCGCTAATGCTGATGCATCGGTGCTCGCTCTTCTCCGGGCTTGCCCAGAAGCGCCTGGGAGGGTGGCAGGAGCTCGTTACCGGACTGGAAGGAGACTTCGCTGATCAGCATCCAGGTGTCGGCGAAGTAGAATCGGCACAGGATGGCCTTGCCCACGCGCTGCTGGAGCGGCACGGTCACGAACCGCGAGCTGGGGTTCTTGTCGTCCAGGACGGTGTCCACGCCCACGGGCTCTGGCTCCCACTCGGCAATCAGCCACGGCTTGAAGCGGCACTCCACCCTCTCGAAGATTTTGACCCCCTTGGAAAACATGTTGTTGCAATGGACCTGGGGGCGGGGGGAGGGGCGTGAGCAGGAGGGGCGCAGGGCGACCGCCGGGGCGGCGAGCGCGCGGGGCGGCCACGCGGCACTGCGAACGGCCCCCGCCCCCTGCGAGGCCCCACCTTCATGGAGGAGAAGTTCCTCTGCCGGTCGAACTGGAACTCCATCTCCACGCCCCCGTCTCGGAAGCTGTCGTTCCTCCAGCCCACGTAGTCGTAGCCCGGCCACACGCGGTACTGGTGGCTCTTGGTGAAGTCGTCCAGGCCCAGGACGCCGTCCACCAGCTGGCCCAGCCCTCCGTGAAGGGACCTGCCGAGAGAGCGTGCGGTTGTGGCCCGCGAGGAAGGACCGCGGAATAGCTCATCCCGGCTACTCCCGCACGAGGACGGCCCGGAAACACAGGCCGCCGTGTGGGACCAGGCGACGGACCGGCCGCACACGTTTCATCTGCCCCGGGAGCGGGTCTTATGTCTGGCAAAAGGGCCTGCGCTGCCCCTTCGAGATCGAGGTCCGACAGAGCAAGGCACCGCTGCGGGGGGAAGCCTCACGCCATCAATATGCCCCTTCTTTGCAGCTCCTAGAGCAGACGGAAACCGATCTGGGAAGCCCGGGGGACAGAAACAGCAAAAGCATCAAGTAGAGAAGGAGCCGGGGGGGGGGGGGTGAAGGGAAGGGGCCACCCTGGGTCCCCTCTTACTTGCGCTCCTGGTAACCATCGTAGGTCGAGTCATTCAGGTAGACCACGGGGTGCCCGGGAGCAAGCATCATCTGCCCGCCCGGCATGCTGTAGGACTCCAAGCCATCTGGGAAAGAGGGCGGCTCAGCATCAGCAGGGTGAGCCCCACCCCTGTAGCCTGAGCCAGAAAACCCGCCCTCGCCACCCACCCCGGACCACCACGCGGCAAGCAGGTGCGCACAGAGGTGCTCCCCCTCCTGGCAGGCGGGCCGCCCATCCCCGGGCAACGATTTGCCCATGCTGAGCATCCCAGCCAGCGGCCAGACAGGACTGGCCTTTCATTCATGTGGCCTGCCTCCCGTGGAGTGGATAGCTGCAATGCCCCGCCTGGGCCAGAGGGGGTGCTGAAGCACAGTGCAGAATAATCTAGTGGCTCCTCCCTTGGGAAGGGGCAGCATTCCTGGTGCTCGAGCGAGTGAAATGTGGAGGAGCTCCCGGGGGCCACGTTCCAGGGGAGGATGGGGCCACAAGCAAAAAGGGCAGAGCCAGCGTCCCAAAGGTCCCAGCCTATTTTTGCTTTAACCCTCTTCCTGCCAGGAACCACCACCACCACCACCACCACCTATTACATTTCTAATTGCCAAATCTCTCTGACAAAGCCTTAGGATGGGCATTTAGTCTTTTGCGTGGTGCACACACACACAGATCGGGAAGCCACCCCGCGACTGGAGGGCGGGGCTTGTGGAAGGGGGTGTGGCCCTCCGGGTATCCCAGGCGGGCCAGATCTGACCGCCAGCCTGATCTTCTGCACAGGGCCATAGAGAAGAAGGCACCCAGGTCTTGTTCCCGGGCTTCCCCAGAGCCTTGCCGAGAGGGTAATCCTTACCAGACCAAACGCAACCATAGAGTTCCACACGCATGCAGACCGTCATGGGCTGCTCCGTCACGGGGATCACTCGGATGTAGCGGGCAATGACCGGCGGGCGGAGATCTTTCAGGACGACGTCATACGTGTCCACATTACCTTGGATCACCTGGAACAGAGGGGGAATCTGGTCCCTTAAGGGTCTGGCAGACGTTAGAGGTACGTTAGAGGTACCCAGGACGGCAGAGGTGGGGCGATTGGGAGATTCCCACGACTCCAACCGCTTTGTCATTACCTGGATGCCTTTAGGGCTGAACTCGAATGAGCAGAGAAAATCTCCGGACCAATATTAGTGATGAGAGGGAGGCCGACTCGCCCTGCTTGGCCCTCTCTTGGCACTGCCACGGCCACTGGCCTCACCCCCACCCCAGAATATCGTGCATTTCATGCTTCTCCAAGCAGGGAGAAAAGGGTTCAGGTGCCGCTGGGAGAAGCCTCGCCACCTGCCCCACCCTGGCTCCAGGCCCCTTGACGTGGCGCTTCCATGGGCCCGCTTAGGCCTGCAGGCAGCATGCTCCGGATCCATGCCCAGCACCACAACTGCTGTGTGCATCTCGGAAGCCGACCCTGAGCGACCACGGAGGTTGTCGTCCTGTTGCCAGCTGCTCCCCCCACCACGGACATGCCCACCTCGTCCCTCGCCGCCACTTTCTCAGTCATTCAGCTCAACTGGGGGGGAACTGGAAACGTTCCACCAAGTTTGCTCAGAAGATCAGGGCATCAACCAACGTGCTCCCAGTGAGAGCTCTGCCCGTAGAGCCATCTCTGACGGACGCACGGCACCGTGGCTCAAAGACCGATGCCAAACGTCGCTGAAAGGCCGCCTGCACGGGCAACAGAGGCTGGCGCTTGCACAGAGGCTAGGAACTGCAGCAGGTTTGTGTGGGGGCTCACGATCCCCTCTGGAGCGACGCGCTGGCCGCTGCTCACCCACCTGCCCATTCTGGCGGTCCTTCCAAGACAGCCAGCGCTCCCCGTTGCGGCTGTAGTCGATCCGATAGGCACGGGCGAACTCCTTGCCCGTGGCCCGGGCGTGACGCCCTTGGGTGCCAACCAGGGTGATGAAATAGAGCTTGTGCAGGTCGATCTGGAGGAACTGCACGTCCTCTGGCTGCAGGAGACCAGCTGGGCACCAGGCCCCGTCGCCCTCCTCCCTCAGCAGCCTGGGTGAAGGCAAGAGAGAGTGAGGCCCACGAGGGGGCAAACCAGCCCCGCTTCCAGGCAGAACGCGCACAGCCAACGGGCTAAGGAACTCGGGCAAACAGGGGTGTGGGACCTTTGAGCCCGAGGGCCGAGCTCCGCTCCGGGGGGGCTCTCGGGAGCCTCACCCCAGCAGTGGGCGTGGCTCAAGAGGAAGAGGTGGGGCCAGAGGCGAAAGGGCTAAAGCACAACTTTCCAGGTGGGTGGAGCCTAAAGAAGGGGCTTCCGCCCATGGCCAAGCCTTAGGAGCACTGCTTCAGCCTTCCAAAGGGAGACACGAGTTGCAGAAAAGCTGGCAAAACGTGAGGAAGCCGGGAATGCTGGATTCAACCTCGGATTCAGTCCCAGGTCTCCCGCTCCATGACAAACAGAGGGCATTGCCTGGCATGACCCCAGAGGTGGTGAATCCCAGGCGATTTCTGAGCCAAATTCAGAGCGGTCTTTAGCCTCATAAAGGTGCAACTGATGGTCCCCCAATATCATCTGGGGAGACGGCAGGCCCCAAGTCCCCCAGGGAGCTTCGAGACCAAGTGGGGACCAGAACTCGGCTCCCCCGGGTCCCCAGCTCCGCATGTGCCCCTGGGCTGGCCTGGCTCTCCCAGGCTGCCAAGGGGGTGGGCGGAATTCTGTGCTGCAGCATGCAAAGTGTCCCAGCAAGCGATGTCCCGTTGTGAGTGCGGCTCACCGAGCGTACTGCGGCCCCGTCGAATCGTACCACTGGCTGGAGGCAGTGATATCCGCATCCCGGATTGTCCCTTCGTGCATCCCCAAAGGATATCGGCATATCGCTTGGGAAGAGGGTTGGAAAAGGAGACAGGCAGGATGTTGGCATTGGCAGAAAGACAAAAGACCACTTATCAAAGGCTTTGTCATGCCGGTGCAGGCAGCTTGGGCCCCCAAATTTTTTGGCTTTGCATCTACGGAACGCTGGGAGAGGAATCTCTCCAAAAATGGTGGCCGTGGGGAAAGGACTTGCCCATGCATTAAGGGGCTTGTGATGGATGGCAGGCGTCAAACACCCATTTTGCAGAAGGAAATGGCACTGCCTTTTCATCTCCTGTGTTACACTTTTGGTCTTTTTATTTGCTGCTCTGGAATCTGTTCTGAGAAGGCTTCATAAATGCATGTTGCAAATAAAGCAAGCCAATAACTGAAGACGTGCATTTCCCACAAGGCAAAGTGGAGAGACGGAAGGCAAGGTCACTCGTGCAAAGACCGCAATGCAACACGGGGGGGGGGGTCTGAACACGAGGCCTTTGGATCTCAGTGCTCTGACTCCAAAGGCCTCGCGGGACACACACCGCACCCGCGGCCTCTCGCAGCCAGCTGGAAAGAGCGGGGCCAGTGGCAGGAAGCAGGACGTGTCGACTTCCACCAGCCTGGAGCAGCACCCGGCTTCCTTCCCTCCTTGACCTAAATCTGGATGGCCAAGAGAGTCCGGTGGGCAGTGAGGGTCGGAGACCACGACGGTTGCCGCTTACTCTGGCTCAGGAGTTTGCAGCCCTGCATGAGCGTGGCCCCGGGAGTGCCATAGAAAGCTCATTTCGGAACCCAGAGGAAGTCCGACCTTCCCTTGGTCTTTGGCCTTCTAAGTCTCATTCACAGAACTGGACTCCAGCTGTGACCAAGCAGCCAAGCAGCCTTGCTCAGGAGGCAGAGGCGCTGGAGCAAGGATGCTGCCGGGAGCCGGAAGAGCACACCTCCCACCCCGCCTCGGCAGCCCACCCCACGCTTCCCTTCCCTGCCCGCCTTCCCTACCAGGGTTGACTTCAGAGCTGGAGCACCGCGAGAGGCCAGCGAGCAAGAGCAGAGGCAGCGAGAGCATCCTCAGTGGCAGGGGAGGTCAGTCAGGCAGAGCTCCCCCGTGGTCTGTCGCTGCCATTCACGTTTCTGAGGAAAGAGGGAGAAACAGTTGCCTGGAGCAGGCTTTCCAGGGGTGCATCAAGACTTTGTGTCAGGTGCAAAACCTCAGCTCTGGGGGGGGGGGGGAAACGGAGCCTCCTTGGGGTGCCAGCTGGCCCCTCCGAGGTTCCCGAAACAGCCACATCACCCTCCCCACCACCACCCATAATTTCCTGGCTTTAATTTTCTGCTATGGGGCACGACAGAATGTCATCAGAGAATTGACCGAACTGTCAGTAAGTTGCACCAGCTGATGTCTCTGCACATCAGGTTTCTCTCTTCCGAGCATCTGGCAGCCACAGCTTGTCAAATGACTCTCAGCCAGGAAATCGGGGCCCTTTCGACAACATGGGTCCTGTGGCTTCCCACTCAGGATCATGGAGCCTGCAAAAGTTTTGCTGGGGGAAATACGCCTGGCCCGATCCCTCTGCTCTGGGGTTTCCTAACACCGTGCAATTCCACATCCAGGGCACCGTCTCCAAACCTCTCCACTCTGCCCGGCTCAGGCAGCAAGTGGAAACGGAGCCATCCATGTTCGAGAGCAAACGCTCCATCATTCCAGCAGAGGCGCAGAGAAGGGTTAACGCCCCCCTTGCCGGGGGCCCAGCGGGTGGATCAGTGGCTAATTGCTCACAGCTGGGAGGACGTAGTTTAAAAACCATGTTGCAGCTGTTGCACGGACAGGAGCATTGCAAGCTGACCGACCGACAGCAAGCGCCTGCCAGAGCCTCGGGCAAAAGTCATCCCTTCCAGGCTGGACAGAGCCCAGCGGTGTCACCGCCCCTCCTGCCCTTCTGCCCCTGCCCCCCCTCCCCATCTCTGGTGCAGGGGTGCGCTTCTGCCTAGGGTGGTGAGGGTCACAGGATCACAGAAAAGTAGAGTTGGAAGGGGCCATGGAGGGCATCGAGTCCACCCCCTGCTGTTGCAGGACACCAGTTCACACCATCCCACTCAGAGAGCTGTCCAGTTTCTCCTCGAATGCCTCCAGTGTGGAAGCGCCCACCACCACTCCAGGCAGCTGTTCCACTGCCGTATTGCTCTGGCAGTGAGGAAGCTTTTCCTGATGTCCCGCCTGAATCTGGCTTGTTGCAGCTTGAATTAATTACTCCGTGTCCTGCGCTCTGGCATCAGCAAGAAGAGACCGTGACCTTCCTCTTAGCCTTTGAGGTTCTTCTAGACTCTAGAAGAATGTCCCCCTCAGTCCTCTCTTCTCAAGGCTGAAGGTGCCCAGTTCTCCCAGTCTCTCCTCACAGGACAGTGTTTCCAGACCCTGGATCGTTTTTGTTGCCCTCCACTGGACCCCTTCTAATTCAGCTGCATCTTTCTTAAATCTTGGTGCCCAGAACAGGACACAGGACTCCAGGCGAGGCCTGACTAGTGAGGAGCACAGAGGAACTACCACTTCCCGTGATTTGGAAGTCCTGCTGGGCCAACTCACGGGGCCACCCAGCCCCGTCCTGTTCACACGGTGACCCTCCAGCGGGACAGGAGCCCAGCAGCCCCCCCCCCATGTTCTCCATTCACAGGAGCGCACAGGCAACTGAGCTCTGCGCCATGAGCACCAGCAGGCGCCATGTGCTTCTCTCGCCCAGTCGCTCTTTCAGGCCATCCAACTGGGGGCCGTCGCACTGCCCAGGTGGCCGGATCCACCCATCGCGTAAGAGGCGCTTCCTTTGCTCCAGCCCCAGATTACGGCGGATTGCGCCGCATCCCTGCCTTCCCCAGCATGGGGCGCGTCAACTATTTCAGACTGCAGTTCCCATCAACTCCCATGCTAGGTGGGGATGCTGGGAGGTGCTGGACCCATCTGGGGAGAACTCGAGCACATCTTGTTGGAAAAGCCTGCTGGGTCATGTCCCCACCCCCAGGATCACCCCTCCAGGATGCCCAGTATTACGCCATTCCTGGAATTTCATTGCCTTCTTTCTCTCCTGCCCAATGGCCAACACTCTTCCGATGGTCTACAGAGGTCAAAACCTTAGAAACGCTTTATGAAAACCACATCTAATAGAGAAGATTCCAGCCCACTGGTGCACATGTGGCTAGAGCCAGAACAAGCGTCAACAAGGACAATTCAAGACCAGAGGAGGAGTCTTGGCCCACTGCCAAAAAGATGACCAGGCGGGATGGTACATCAGGTACTGTGCTCCTGGGCTGCGTAAGGTTTTATAGGACCAAACCGGCAGCGCAAATGAGCCCAGGAAATGCGCAGACAGGCTAAATAGGTGCTAGATGGTGTGTGTTATCTGCCTCGGCAGTGAAAGTAAAATGTCAAAACCACAGGAAGCAGATAATCACTCTACTGTTCGCTGGTCCACCTGCATCTTGGACACAGCATCCTGTACCGGACACCGCACTGGAAGGATGTGGAGAATCTGGGATGAGCTCAGAGGAGGGCAGCAGCGATGAGCAGGGAAACTGCGTCCCATGAGAACACTTAGAAGAACAGAGGCCGTTTATCCCCGGGAAGAGAAGGTGGGATATGAGAGTCCTTCCTGAATCTCTGAAGCGCTGTCAGACTGCACCTGTTCAGAGGATGAGGCACGGCCTGCTGGATGAGGCTGGGGTCCATGCAGTCTGCAAGCCTGTTCCCAGCAGTACCATCAGGGTAGGGCTTTGGGGCAGACGTCGATGGCCCCGGTCAGAAGATGGTAGCAGAGGGCCTCCAATGGAGCAAGGCTTCCATTCCACATTTCGAAGCAAGTGAGACCACGTGTCTATAAGCCTATGTCCCATCTACTGTACATGCACCAGAGTCCATGCGGCGTAAAGGTTCAAGTGTTGGACTGGGAAGAGAGTTCCCAGGTTTGAGTCCCTGCCGAGCCCTGAAGCTCACCAGGTGCTTTTAGGCCAGTCACTGGCGCCTGGCCTAACCTACCTCACAGGGTCGTTGTGAGATGAAATGAGGAGGAGGAGGAGGATCGTTGAGAGCCAGGGCATCCAGTGTGGCTTAGTGGTTAAAATGTTGGAATAGGGAGATCCAGGTTCTAGACCCCATTCAACCCGGAAGGTGATGTTGGGTCAGACTCTCAGCCTGACCTACCTCATAGGGTTGTTGTGAGATAAAATGGAAAGGAAGAAGATAATGGACAATGATCTTTGGCATCCTTGGAGAAGAAGGTGGGATGTGACAGAGAAGTACATCTAAGCAACCCTTCTGTTATCCCCAACTAACCCTTTGAAGAAGCATTTCAGCCTTTCAGGGTGGGGATAAAAAGGCATGAGAGTCCGGGAACCCCTAAATGATTGGCAGCTAGGGAAGGGGGTGGGGCCTACTTCGGAATTTAACCCGAAAAATACGACCAGAATGTCTGCTCCACTTCTAGGTCACAACTGCTCCCTGCCGCCCCCATGAAGCATGGCCTTGCCATAAGCCGGACTGAAGCAGCGACCTGCCGGACAATTTGAGCGTCTCGTGGAAGAGGAGCCAGTGGGCTGTGCTCTGGCTCTTGGCTCTGTCGTGGCCCCCATGAGCGGGATGTTATTTTTATCCATTACTCAGGTAGCAAAAGGTCTTGTCCAGGCCTTCCCCATCCTCGAGGCAAACACTTGCCTTTTCTTAGGTTCGTCTGACCGGCGGCAATGTTCGGGACAGTCTGCTAGGGCTGAGCCCCCAAAGGTTGCATTTGGGGCCCTGAATCTCTGGGAAGCCGCCCTGCACCACCGTCCTGCTGTCCAGGGGCACTTGCCAAAAGCAAGGCCCAGTGGCTGTGGGGCTCTCGGGGGCTTCTGAGCCCCCTCAGTCAGTCAGCATTGGCCCACATGTACTTCACCCCCTGCTGACCTCCTCCACATCTTTCTGGCAGAGCTTTTCTGCTGAGGTCAAGGGTCCCTTCTCCCCTGCCCATTTTAAACATCTGGTTGCCCTTAGGAGGCAGGGCCTTTAAATGACCACGGAGAAAGAGAGAGAAAGATGCATATTTTTGCCTTGTGGTCCATCCATGGATCTTTCTGGCACCTAACATCAGCTGTGGCTATTTACCTGTACCATGAGTTTATTTATTTATTTATTTATTAAAACATTTTTATGCCGCCCCATTCGCCGAAGCCTCGGGGCGGCTTACAACATAGATAAAACAAGTTAAAATCCATATAAAATAATCTTAATTAAAACTCACATTATAAAATAAGCCGCCCTGGCCAGATAAAATTCAATTGTATTTAGCATTTAAAATGTTGCTTAAATAAAAAGGTCTTAGCCTGGCGCCGAAAAACAAATAACGACGGCGCCAGGCGGACCTCTCTGGGGAGCGCATTCCATAACTTAGGCGCCACCGCTGAGAAAGCCCTTCTCCGAGTAGCCACCCTCCTAATTTCTCTCACGGAGGGCTCCCGGAGAAGGGCCTCTCCCGCCGATCTCAGGGGGCGACTGGGCAAATATGGATGTAAGCGCTCCTTCAGGTAACCAGGACCCAAGCCGTTTAGGGCTTTATAGGTCATTACCAACACCTTGAATTGGGCCCAGACTTCAATGGGGAGCCAGTGAAGCTGACGGAGAACTGGTGTCATGTGAACATAACGTCCAGTCCCCGTCAGCAGCCTGGCAGCTCTATTCTGAACCAATTGAAGTATCCGGACCGTCTTCAAGGGTAGCCCCACGTAGAGCGCGTTACAGAAGTCAAGACGGGAAGTCACCAGCGCATGAGTCACTGTTGCAAGGCAGTCGTACTCCAGGTAGGGGCGCAGCTGATGAATCAGCCGAAGCTGGAGGAAAGCGCTCCTCGCCGCTGTTGTCACCTGAGCTTCAAGTGAAAGCTCCGGGTCGAGGAGCACTCCCAAGCTGCGGACCTTGTCCCTAGGAGGGAGTGCAACCCCATTCAGGACAAGGTTCAGGTCACCTTCTCCGAAGCCCGAACCGCCAACCAACAGGACCTCCGTCTTGTCTGGATTGAGCTTCAGTTTATTGGCCCTCATCCAGCCCAT